AAAAACAAACACTGTGAGACACATGGGCTGGCCCCCTCTTCTTATCTTCTCTCTCCATTACATTGGTGTACAAGTTACAGTACAACATGCTTGCCGCCGTTGCCGGTGATAAGCAACCGGACCGATGCCCCCCAGAATAGAAGGGCCCTGAAGTTTTTGTTGAAAAAAAAAAAAGAAGAAACGAAATTGACACACGACATGAGAGACGAAACAAGCGTGGGTTTGACGGCAGATAGGAGAAAAGGGAAATGCTTGGTATGGCTGGAGCCTGCTACTGTTTGTGAGGAGGATTATTGATACTACTGTGTTTTTTTTTTTTTTTTTTGATGTTTTAACTTTTAACCCATTGTTGACACTTCTGACCAGTGGGGAAAACAAAAAACTGTTTCATGTGGCAGGTGAGGCCTCATTTACATCCAGCAAAGCAGCAGCAGCAGATCGGTTTCCTACATGGCGACTTTTTAAAGGTGGGGAAAAACAAAAAAAAAGACTCAAGCCCAACCTTTTCGCCTGAGCCCTTGCTGGGGCAGCTCAATCCCATGTGTCTCTTTTACTATCATATTTGCTGTGATTGTGGCAGCTGCCAGGATTTGAACCCAGAACCTGACAGCAACAAGGTAAGTTCCGCTGTTGTTTGTTTTTGGCAACTTTTGCTGGTTTTTTTTTTTTTTTTGCTGCCCTCGGGGATTGAACCTTGGACCTACAAGTGGAATCTCTGTTAGCCAGGCTTAGGTTTTTGTCTTTTCAGCCTACAGTCTTGATGGGAATAGAACGCCTGGTCATTATTCCTATATCTAGACTGAAAGGTGCCCCGAATACAACAGCTGTAAGGGCCAGGCGTAATGGGATTGTCGGCTCAGCAGTCCCAGTAGGCCCAGGGGATGAGTGTATACTATATAGGCAAAAGTAGCGAGCGGAACAGCAGAGTTGGCACGTTTGAACTCCTGGTCATTAGCCCTGTGTCTAGACTGAAAGTTGCCGCGAACACAGCTATAATGGCTGGGCGTAAGATGGGATTTTCGGCTCAGCAGTCCCAATAGGCCCAGAGAATGAGTAGATAGACAGAAGTAACGAGCTGACGAAGACGGTTGGCACTTTCTTTTTTTTGTCGCTCGTGAAGTTTGAGGTTGAAGATGAGGCGTTGCTCGCTCCTAAGCTGGCGCGAAATCAGGGAGCAGCCACAGCCGCTTGTTACTAACACTACATTACACTCAATCTTTTTGCTACCCCTGGCTCTGGGCCTTCCAACACAGAGATGGACTTGTTATTATTCTTTTTGGATTTTTGTCTGAAGGTGGTCTGTTTTTTTTTGTTTCGAGTCCTATCGTCTTATGACTCTTTCGATCAAGGTTTCAGGGGTGTACGTTGAAAATTGAGTTACTCAACTTTTCAATTTTTCCCTCCTCTAGAGAGTCCCAGTTAAGTTCAGAAGTCATTGAATCCAAAGGACTGAAATTTCAAAGGAGATCCATCTTGATGCTATTAAGAGTGTATGAATGCAAAGTCGTTGAATCTAGTCACGCCAGTAAGATTTCTAACAGCACGGCATAATAGCCGTAGATGGCAAGGCCTACCCTTCGCTGGCCCCATCAAGCCTAAATTCAAGTAAATTGTCTCAGTCATTGTTTGCTGAACCTGCCCTGAAGGGAGATGGAGGGGGAGATGGGGCGAGATGAGGGAGGGGGAAATTGATCAGAGATTCGGGCGCAAAGTCGAAGGGAGATGCAGGGGGATGGGGTAGGGGTAGGATGAAGGGAGATGGGGGATGCGGTAAGTCGAAAAGAGATGGGGAGCGGTGAGGTCGGGAAGAAACCGTGGAGGGTCCGGGGGAGCTGGGGTCGTGAGGAAATTGTGGAGAGGTCAGAGGGAGTTGCGGAGCAGAGGGGGGAGGAGATGGGGAGGGGGTAAGTCGAGCAGAGATAGGGGGTCGATGACGGGAAGTGGCAATCGCGGAGGATCATGGAAGTTGAAGGTTGATGCAAGGAGTGGCACAGCATGGAGGGGCAGGAGAATGGCTTGCTCTCTTAAGAAGACGAAGAAGAAGAAGAAGAAGAAGAAGAAGAAGAAGAAGAAGAAGAAGAAGAAGAAGAAGAAGAAGAAACAAAGGAGGAGGAGGAGGAGATGAAGAATAAGTGTCGAAGAATCAATGAAGAGGAGGAAGAAGAAGAATGCAATAACCCTCACAGTTACAGTCTGAGATTCGTGCAATTTTCAGAGTATTGCTGTCTGTTGGTCCCATTTGCTGAAGATTTCCTGTTCTTTGAATGTGTTTTGCTGTATTGGCTGTGTCAGCATGAGGTTTGCTTTGCCCGTGAGCTAACCTCATGCTGTTCTCGTGCTGTGTGTTTTCTGTCCGGGAGGGGTTGAACAGTAAATAGTAAATACTAAATAGCGATAGCAATAACAGAGGGACTGAAATTCGACGCCAAACATCATCCAATACAAACAATCCAGAATGTTCCTAAATTAAAGTATATTCATAAATAGCTAACTACACGGCGCGTTGAAGCAGACTTCCCCTTAAACCACAAGTACACGGCCCCAGCCTTGCAGTCCGAAACGTGTCGCCACAAGAAAACAAGGCCGAAACGTTAAACGCTGGGCCCGCCGTTGATAAATTCGATCGACGGCCCCGTTTTCGTTTTGCACTTCCAGAATTTGAGGTGTCAGACCCGAGGCCCAGGTGCCCATGTACTGGTAGTTTAAGGCCGAACGATGGTGGAAAGGTCGTGGTTTGGACGGTGAGCCCCCTGCCCCTGGCAAGGATGCTGTCTGTGGTGTTCAAGGCAGCTGGTCCCGAGGGACAGGATGCCTCCCTGCCCCTTGGGCCCAGCCTTTGAGACAACGGACGAGGCTGGGAACACCCATCGGCCGCTTCACTGGGCAGCGGCACCAACACTAGCTTGTAGATGATACAGGCTGACACATAGTCTAGCCAATCAGTGCTTGACTCTGACAAACATCCTCAATGTATTTGTCTTGTACTCCAAATGGGACGCTAGACCTGGTTTTCAGCAAGTGTTGCTCCCCACCAATAGATCGGAGCAGGGCAGATGCCAAGGTACTAGTGGGGACTGCTCTTATCACCCTCCCCAGTGACCCTGCGACAACCCTGTGTCTCTAAAAAAAAGAAAAAAAAGATAGCTGACTGCGCAGCGAACGAAAAGCAGTTATCGAATAAGCACAAATAACAAGTGCTGGCACAACACTTCGAAAAAGCAAAAAAAAAAAAGCGCGGCACTCTGTAGGCAGAGCGGATGTCATAACTACATTTGTGGGGCGTGGTCGCGGAGGGCCCAGTTCAGAAATGGCAAAAAGTTCCAAAAACACTTTACCCTCGGAGGGCCACTATTTTGTGCTATTTTCGCAGTTTCAAACTCCTCTGCCTGAAGTTGCTGTCACACGTTTTTCCGGCAGATTTGAAACTCGAACCATGATCTGGACGTGGTTGTTTCATTCATAAAATTAATGATCCGCACAGCATCCAGACCATACTTGCAAGCGGACGCGGTCCGCACGTGCGGCGGACCGCCGGACCGGACCCGCGCGGCGCCCGAATGTGTGCCCGACGACCAGTTACCCCCCACCCCACCCCCCCAAAAAAAAACAGCCCCGTCCGGTCAGGTCCGGTCCGGTCCGGTCCGGGTCCGTCCGGTCCGGGGGGAGGGTGCCGCCCGCGGCAAAACGGACCGGACCGGACGCTTGTCCGGTCCGTCCGCTTGCAAGTATGATCCAGACTCAGACATGCAGACAGTCTGGATGGCCGTCCAGACGTCTGGATGGTAACCATCATGGTTCACCCTTTTAAACCCTATTTATACCCCCATTCCCCTCCCCCCCTCCCCGTCCTCCTCGCCCAACCTATAACATTCACAAACCAAAAGAGCCCGGATTTGGTCTTATCTCAGTAGGCAGAAAAGTGCGCCACCAGTCATCCAAAAAAAGAAAATGGGAAGAAAGAGCCCAGATTTGGGCTTATCTTTCGAGCTGCCTGGTTTGGGGTGGGTGCCAGCCCGAACAGCTTGTTCGGATGCCAGGCTGAACATGCCGCATAACCCTAGATGTTTATTATATTTGTTATGACTGGACTTTGCACCAAGAACAATGCTTTGTTGAACTTGGCCCCAGGCAACTGGAGAACCTGTTTTGCGCCTCTCTGAAAATTCAGGAGGCCGAGCGCCGTAGTTAAAATGAATCGGCGGTGGGCGGCCTCCGAAACGGACCCGTGACCAATAGCTGGCATGTACTGGTGCTTTAAGGTTGTCTGTCACTCTATTCTTTCTTTACCCAGTTGCTCATGACACTCCCGACTCTCAAGCTTATTGGAATGTTTGTTATCATCGTAATCATTTTGATCTTTCGTCATCATTTTCTGACCATTGTGATGATTCCTCTGATTCTTTGGGGCCTCGCCGTACTACTCACCAACTGTGCAAAATGAATGGAGGACGCATCTTCCCATAGATCATAGAAAGGTACACCCGCAATAGTTTGTCTTCTTCACATTTGGTGAGTGTGCGGCGAGCCCCCTGGTATCTCAAAATTTATCGCCATCCGTCTGATCATTTGTGATGGTCAGTGTTGTTTGACGTTATTGTCAGGATTTGGTGAGTGTGGTCATTATTAATCTTTGTTGCTGCCCGACGTGTGGTCGTCTCGCATAGGGGGGGGGGGGGCTTTTCGATGTTTCACATTCGTGTGGATTTAATTCGGAAAAATGATAAAACGTCGAGTCGTCCTTCTTTGTTTTCTTTTTCTCTAGTTGTTTTTTAAACTTTATGTAAACTTTCGCCTCCTTTTTCTTTTTCTCCCTAAATGACATGGAGATTATGGAGTAGAATGCAATACTACGACCTAAATGATTCTAAAAAACTTTATCTGCCGAAGTTTTGGAGGATGAGTTAGATCCAGTGTGTGAAGTTTTTGTTGGAGTAGGACTCCACACTTCACACACTTTGCCTTGTCGCAGGTAAAACCACTGTGTTGTGCATTCGATGCACAGAGGTGTGTGTTGTCAATCCAGTCATTTAGAGTGAGGGAGATGAAAATGCATGATGATTAAAATGGCATAGAATCGTAAAGAATATTAAAGAAATGAACTCACGCACTTGCCATCGTCCACATACTTCGCCTTGTCATCCTTGTGTGCATGGAGGGGACTGGATTTGTTGTCTGATTGTGGCGGAGCAATCGAACCATTCCTGTGTGCAGATCGATTGGTCTGATGGAGATCTCATTTTCTCAAACGCGACATGTTTCGGGGGCCAATTATTTGAAAAGCTCGAGGTATGCCGTTCACTCACTTTTGCTTTGCTCTACTGACTCTACCGTCCTGCCCCGAACACAACGCAAGTTGGATGTGCTGTATTGAACAACAAAAATAACCGGTATACATTCATGAACAGGGTGTGCTGTGCCGCTCGGGGGTTACAGGGGGTAGGCAATAGTTTTGGTGCGTGGACAGTGGGCCAAGTCGTATGTCTGGAATGGAGTCGAGAAAGTCTCAGATGGCAAATGTTTGCAGGGGGGAACCCATTGTTTTGATTTGGAGAAGGGGGGGGGGGGCTGAAGGGGGGACCCAGTTTCTGTAGGGTGGGGAAAGACATCTGTCTTTTTTTTTTTTTTTTTTTCTCATTCCGTGGGCGGAGGCATAGTCACGCTGTCTTTCGTTGTATTATATAAACTTATTATGACTTTGTATTAGTTTGTAAGCTTATGCAAAGAAATGAGCAATGTGAATGACAATAAAGTTGAATAAATTAAATTGCCGCATTCCATAGAAATCCAGATAACTTCGAGCCCGAACTGAAAGCAAATTGCACCTTTAACCACCAGTACCCCAGGGGGTCTTAGGCCCCCTCTGGGGAGGCTCTGGGTCTTAGGCCCCCTCTGGGGAGGCTCTGATGCAAATGCACATGGATCCGTGCGGCGCACCGATTCAGCCACCGCGTTAATGGCCTAAAAACGTGGAGGTACTGGTGGTTTAAGATAACACCAAATAAGGAAGAGCAAAGCATTGAAGTGAAATGATAATGAAAGCCCTCTTCTCGCTTCCAACACCGATGTCAACAATGTTGCTCTCGTAACTTGGCGCTTGGTGCCCAGACTACAATCAGACAGCGTCTATCGACCTAGATTCCTGTCTTCAACAGGTCTTCGATGAAGAACAGCAGCCAGATGACCAATGGAGACTCCGAGTGATACGGCCCACCCCCTCATCACCAGGCAAGTGCCTCCTCACATAGCCCTTCACCTGGACTTCCACGCCATTCCCTCGATCAAGGACCTCTGCCTTCCTCCTCCAGCTATGGCGCCAGCAGCCCGGGTATCGCCTGCGCCCTGCCCGATGCGCCCTTGCAGCGTCTTCCACAAACCCTGCAAGCGCCCTTCTTCTGGCTCTCATCCAGCATGTGAGCGCTCCAGTAGTGATGCCGCCGTCCAACCAGCCAGAATGCCCCGAGTGAATGAGCCTCAATCTCTTTTATTCTGTCTGGCTGGGCGAGACAGGCCCTGGCTGGGTGGTCTTCTGTCCCAGTATCTGCGCCCTTCGAGAATGTGCCTGGGGCTCAAGTGTAAGTGCCCTGGGCCTAAGCATCTTTGCTGGGCCCAGCATCTGCAACCAACCGAGCTGCCGGTTGGTTGGAGATAGCTTCCTGCAGCAACCAACGGCGGAGGGACCCTATTCTCTACTTTTGTAGGTTCCAAATAGTACGCGATAGCTGCGCCGGTTACGAGGGGTTGTGTGCCAGCGATGCAGGGCTTCACAGGTGAGCATACAGTTCTGAGGCCTCGTTACAAAGCGTTGAGCTAACTATTGACCTTTCTGGACAAATCACACATTTCCAATGAATAGTAGACAGGACGCGTAAATTGCCCGTCTTGATACGCACCTACGATTCCCGATAGTTCGTTGTGAGGCTTGCACAGCTCTCTACTGAAATGACTCAGCCGTCATTCCTTAGAAAATACACAGCTACTCCCTTTCCTCTTTCATTAGTTTCTTGAACTTTCTTCACTCCTACTTTCTCTGGGTATCCCTTTTTCTCTGAACTTTCCTGCTTGCTTGTCTGGTTTTCTGCAGGAATGTGCAAATGCGAACCTGAAGCCTGGAGCGATCGTGATTACCGTCTCTCGCCATTTCCTTGGGGATAATTGGGAAATTTTGGAAGCAAAAGAACGAAAGATGAGCTGGGCACCAGCAAAGGTGTATGTTCATCGAAAGCGACAGAGAGAAAGGTATGTACCGAACAATTCCGAATCTTCCGCTGTCAGAAAGTTGTGACTCTCTCAAGGCACTGCAGGGCAACTCTGTCAGAGCAGAATGGCTGCCGGTCAGGGTGGAGTAAGTCTGCTGGGAGTAAGAACTTGTCAGTAAACTTGTCAGAGCAGAGTGAAACCAGCCCAAAGAAACCAGATTTCCTCCACCCTAAGAGGACTACAGGGCAGCTGAAGAGACTGGCTTTCTGTCAAGTGTGTGTCTGTGTGAGAGTGAGAGCAAAGAGAGAGATATGTTGATCAACGATATGTCTTTGTGTGTGTGAGAGAGACTGAGAGCAAAGAAAGAGGCATGTTCATCAACGATACGTCTTGGTGTGTGTGAGAGGGAGTGAGAGAGACAGGACAGGCCGGGGCAGGGGGAGAGAGACAGAGATAGATACATCAGTCCAGATATGAGTTTGTGCATGTGTTTCTGTGTGTGAGAGTGAGACCAAAGAGTGAGACATGTTGATCAACAACATGTCTTTGTGTGTGTGAGAGAGAGAGTGAGAGAGAGAGAGGACAGGCCGGGGCAGGGGAAGATCGAAGGTTACGGGGGGGAGAGAGACAGAGATAGATACGTCAGCCCAGATATGAGTTTGTTCATGTGTTTGTTGTGTTCGTGTTTGTGTGTGTGTGTGTGTGTGTGTGTGTGTGTGTGTGTGTGTTTTGAATGTTCACCACAACAGCCCTATTCCACCCAGATGAACAGATCCAAAATCAAAGCATATTTAATCCTATTACAGACAATGAAAGTCCTTGAGTTCAGACAACCCAACAATGAAACAGTTTCACCTCGATAGCAAGCAACATGAAGCACAATAGCTGCATGTAAACCCCTTCTTGAATGTGTTCACATTTGCTTTCTTCGGGGTATCCCTTTCATTTGTTCTTGCAGCTCCCCCTTTACCGTGCCTCCCATGCACAAGGCTCGCCACATTGATTGTGGTTGAGCACAAGCTGCCCACATCCCTGTGTGCCATAACGGACCACTTGCACACTATGAGAGGAGGCAGAGCAAAGGCGGAAGTATATTCCTGTTCATTTCTTCTCAGATCTTCAACTTATATTTTATGTATTACTAGTAATACACAACAGGAGGGAGGAAGGAAATGGGAGGTGGAGTTCTGACAGGGTTCTAAAGAGTGACCGCTGGGGCAGACCACTCTAGAATGGCACATGAGGCCAGTCAGTGTGTGGGTTCCGAAGATTTGAGGAGCAGTTGTTGCCTATGGCAAGTGGCCACCTCTACGGACCGGGCCGGACCGATTCGGGTGTGGCCTGTGGAAGCAGCGCATCCAATTCTCACAGTCACAGTTACTGCATCGAATGGCACGGCGTAGACAGATGTCACAGGCTACATGGCTCCTACATGCTAGGAACATAGAGGCACGTCGACTGCAATTGTAGAGGCATTGCTGTTCCAGCCCATCTACAAATTGGACATGACATGTCAGGGTGCTGTACATGAGCGCAGTATCGACTGTCATCATGCGTATGAAGACAAAAGCTTGCCGGGGCTTTTCTTTCATAATCCTCACTGCATAAGGCATGTGAACCACATGCTAGCTGAATCTCCGGTGGGTCATCACAAAGCGGCATGGAGCAAGTTTTCTTGGGTTTCCACAGTACAAGTGGAGATTCATTGCAGTCTTGACCATTTCTTCACGTTCCTCCGGCTGTATTATGCGCTCCGGAGAAAGATCTTCTGGAATCGAAGGCTCCATCAGGTGATCAGAAGGTGGCTCTTTATCATTTGAGGCAGGGGAGGATTCATTGCAGTCTTGACCATTTCTTCACGTTCCTCCGGCTGTATTATGCGCTCCGGAGAGAGATCTTCTGGAATTGGAGGCGCCATCAGGTGATCAGAAGGTGGCTCATTATCATTCGAGGCAGGGGAGGATGCAGGGTCAGGTGGATGAGGAATATAGATGGGTCAGATGCGGGAAGCGGATGTTGATAAGTCACACTTGCGCTCAAAGTGACTGCTAGTCATGCAAATGTTGCGCAGGCAGCTTCACCTCGTGTCTGGTGCTCATGCAAGCCTGCAGCGCTGAAGAAATCATGGCACTCGATATGTACTGCTCCTGGTTAGTGTATATTGAGAGCGGTGTTGTCGTTCTGTACAGTTGCGAGCATGTCGTCAGAGCAGATCTGTGTGTGCGTGTGAGTGTGAGTGAGAGAGAGAGAGAGAGAGAGGACGGGGGAAAGGAGGGACTGTAGTCTTTACCCGTGTCTTTGAGTTTATCGACGACCTGGTTGAGGCTCCAACGTAAAACAAGTGTCGCATACCGTAATGGTGCAGATCAGAACAAGAACCGACCTCTCTCACAAAGTACAAGATAGCGTAGCGGAAGACTTAGATACCAATGATCCGAACAATCAATGTTGCAATGCAGCCCCAAACATACGTCATCATCATTCCATGGTGTGAAGGGGCCTGGCGCTCACACAGGAAGAATGCGCCAGTCCCCAACCATATGCAGACGAAGAAGAGGGGGGTTAGACGAAGAAGAAGGGAAGATGGGAATGTCGCCAACACCAGGTCTTCGGTACAGGTCCCAAATAATCCCTCGTCAAATGTCTGAATCCCCATGTCAAGTCTGGATCCAATGTCGTCAAATCTCAAAGTCACAACTCTCTCTCTCTCGTAGTCCGCAGATACTGAGAAGTCAGGTAGCGAGAGGGTGAAGAAGAGATGGTGGACTTAGAAGGGGAAGAAGAAGAACTCTCTCTCTCTCTCAGTCCGGTACTAACCTGTGAAGTTGGCGCCTTGATGCAGGTACCTCGAAGATGAAGCTGGAGCTATCTCCATAGGTAAGTCTCGCTGGCCTCCGCCAGCCATCTCTCCCAACTCTACTATCTACCACCTACTAGCACCCAGCGCTGAAGACTACTGCTATGGCTACTAGCGCCCAGCGCTGAAGACTACTGCTAGCGCTAAAGCTACTCCTGCAGCGCTCCTCCAGAGTGCTGCTGCCGAATCCTGAAGACTACTCCTGCCTTCTGCCTACCCGTGAAGTGCATGGGAACTCCCTATGTACTACCTCGGCCTGCCTCCTGACTGCCTCCGACTGCCTGCAGTTGCAGGGCGGGGCAGTCCAGGAGGCTGCTCTTGCCAATGCCAAAATGAGCCGGGGTCTGGTGCTGCAGCTCCTGCTGAGGCTGTCGTGGGAACAGGCCAAAAATAGCCTGTTCTAAAACCCTGGTTTGGTGCCTGAGTGTCAGAGCAGGTCGATCTTATGAGGGCCCGAAAATGGCCCTCCGTTTCAGGCTGAAAAGACTCAGGGCCTGGAAGGCCCTGTTTTAGGCTGACACGACATAGGGCCTGAAGGCCCTCGTTTTCAGGCTTTCAGGATGAAACGACACAGGGCCTGTAAGCCCTTGTTTTCAGGCTTTTAGGCTGAGAACGCTGGTCGGGCCCTGCAGGCCCGTGTGGCTGCGCAGTATGCCACACTGGCAAAAACGATTGGGTGGTAATTTGTATCTTCGTGTTCATTATATGTTTCTATGAGATGCTGGGCTCGGTTTCCAGCAGGTAGGTGCAGCTCCCCACCAATAGAATGGAGCGCTTTTTTTAACAAAAAAAAGAAAGAGGTAAAAAAACGGGTTGGGGATGCAAAGGAGGACTCTGCATTGTTGGTAGCTCCATAGGAAAGGTTCTTTCCTTTTCTGTTTGTAAAGTGTGTTTTGTTGGCATTATGATGGCTGCCCTTGTTTACCTTGCACGGATCCAGAGTACCTCTACACCTCTTCTCCTGAAGCTATGAGCATCATTCTATCACTCACGGCACGAAAGAAATGTTTCAGGGTATTGAGAGATTTCACTTCACCACTTTCACATTTTGCAATAGGTGGAACCGGGCCCTGTTTCCCTTCTCCATGCAAATCGTTGGAAAACACATCAGGATTTGTCATTGAACGCTGCATTCAGAAGGGGAGGTATGGCATTCACAGTTCCACACGGTCCCCGGAGAGCCCGACTGGTCGGTTAGGGCGTAGTAGGACGGGTCTGAGGGACCAGTGTCGTTTCGGCCCATTTTAGGGCCCGTAGGGTTAAAAGGCCGAGTTAGGCCTGTTACCGGCCAAACGTAGGACCAGCACTGTTTGGGCCTGCAGGTCAGTAGGCTGCTATCAGCATTTGGCCGCCAAGATGTTTAGGCGCCAGATTTGAATTCAAGGATTGGGCCGTTGGGGAGCAGTTTAGGCGCCAGCTCTTAGGACCGCCAATCGACCAGTATATCAGATGACCTGGATTAAGAGGCCAAGAGCATTCAGCTGGCCTACCAGATTAGCGCGATATTTAGCTGGTCCGCCCAGTGCATTGATGAAGTCTTCAATGGTCGATGCGCTGTTCACTGTAGGTATTCGTGTACAGCGCTGGGCGCTGATAGAGGTTCACGACACCAGTGGGGGGTAGAGGTTGGTGGAGGCCAGGGGACTTACCTGTCGACTTACTTGCGATGCCATAGCTGTAACTTTGTCTTCAGCACGTCCGTACCTGCATCAAGGTGACACCTTTCTG